CACTGCTGCTTCACTGGCTGTCCATCAGCTCTGCATCCATATCGCAGGTCTCTGCACTGATTCCGCAGCATTGTGGACGAGAGTGTGTGTGTGTTGCTGAGCGTGTGTTTTTGTGCGCAAAATGGGCACCGAATGCGCCCCTTTTTTTCAGCCGAAACCAGATGAATTGCAGAAGTTGAGAAAGAAAAATCACCAGTGTATAATTTAGACACATGACCGCCGGTCTCTCCAAATGAAGCCGTTTAAATCAGATGCCCCGAATGACACCGAGCTCAGGTTGCGCCAAAATGGCTCACGCGCGTATTAACGCATAACGGATTCCAGACGTCTTTATTTTATCTTTTTTTTTTTTTTGTCTTCACCGAGTTGCCAAAGTCTCTATATTCAACCAATCAATTAAAAGTTGAAGTCTGACCGTCAGCGGCGGTGGGCGATGCTGCTGCTGTCATCCGCTGTCTGGCAACAATTATGCCAGTGATGAATTCAAAAGCTCGAGCCAAAGAAGCAGACACACTCCGCCGGTTCCCACGCAATATCATCCACTCCGAGTCACTGAGGCTTGGAGAGTTAATTGTGTCTTTTCTTTCTTCTTTTTTTTCTTTTCTTTTTAACCTTTACTTCCTAATTTTATTTATCTATTTGTGAGTGTCCATTTAAATCTAATTGTGCGTCTCTTCTTTATATTAATGCCGAAAAAAGGACAAACACGTGATTAAACAGCTCCGTTAATTTGGTGGATTTTAAACATTAAATGTTTTAAATTCTACATTTTAAAAAAAGAAAGAAAAAAAGAAAATGATTAATAAATTATAAAAAGTTTTTAAATAAATCCTAAACGTGTGAAGTATAAAAAGTTATTGTGAACATTTATTCTGTTTTACAATCGAAATAAATTTCCAACAACAAACAATTACTATAAAATCTAACTTTTTTCCCAAGTATCGTGCAAAATGATTTCATTTCCTGCTGTGCATTTGTATTATTTAAAGACAGAGCTGCAGAGACAAATGCACATTTTCCAACCGTAATTAAAATTAATTGTGCAGCATTCTGACCGTTGTTTTGGCCTCATTACTGACAACTGATTAATAATTAATAATTAAAAGGTCAAAAGTCAAATTAAATGAATAGAACAAACTGGATTTTTTGCAAAAGATAAAAGTTACTGCAAATATGAAAGATAAAGCTTTATAATTTTTTACGCAAACAACATTTATGCACAAACATTATACATTTACCCACAAAAATAAAACATTAAACACTTAAAATGCATTAATTAATAATAATAATGAACAAAAAAAAGTGGATGAACTCATTTTTAAATTGGTAAATTAGTCACATTTAAGTGCATTAAGTAGAATAAAGGATTGCAATTAAAGCTGGTATTTATCTCTAAAGGACATTTTTAACCCTATTCTGGACTTTTGGGGTCTTTTGGACCCCAGACCATCTGGTTTAGGTGACAGGTATTGGGGGTTTTTTTTATTTTTGAAGACTTTTTTTTAAATATAAAAAGAGGGACATTTGTTATGCATTTGTAACCAAAAATACATCAACTTATCAGAAAATGTATAAAAGTCTATAATGAATACCAACTAATATTTTGCACATATTCTTTCTTGGGGACCCTGAAAGACCTTCTATGTATGACAGCATGAAAGTCCTGAATAGGGTTAAAATGCAGAAATATATAACCAATAAATCAGTCTGGTTGTTATATTGCTTTACCTACTCCATGCAGTAGAGCTGGATTACATTACCCTAACAATAAAAAGTTATGATCAGAAATATTCCAGTGAGCAGGTGTGTCTCTTTTGCAGTGAGCCAGTGTGTAAACATCAGACCTGCATGTGCCAGCACTTTGACTGATGCTGATCATGTGACAGTGCTTGAACTCTTCGGGCCCTCAGACGCTGCCAGCACAGGCACCACAGATCTCCAGCAAACGTGGCTGCACTTGAGGAATGAGACTCCGGCCGTGCAGATATGAGTGTTCCCGTGTGATGGCCGCCTGGAGGAGAGATTAAGGCCGATCATCCTCTGAACTGCTCCGGCTCCTCCTCTCGCTCCCTTCTTTTTTTTCCTGAGGCAGAAAACAGTCATAGAAAAATGTAAATCCTATTGTTTGCATTGGCTTTGTTGATGCAAAAGGAATGAAACACAGCCGCCTTGTTCGGTGGAGGGTGTCTCAGTGACCGAAACCTTTATTTATTTTTAGATAACTAGCAGAGAAAGGAGGCATGGGGCCACAAAACTAACACCCAAAGTATAACATCAACTTCTCCGTCTATGTGAAAGTGGGCTATCTTTTTTTTTTTTTTCTAAAAAAGATATCTTCATGTTTCTCACGCCTTGTCCACACTTTGATTCACTGATGCATTTCTGGTTGGATAATTGTGTCAAACCACACCTCAGCTGCAGATCCATCACAGTTGTGCTGCTGAAACTGGGCATGTGGGCCTTTATTCACGTCTATTATGTGGTGAGCTGAGCCTGTGATAATAAATCCTTGCATCCTGCCGGGGTCGTGGACTGTCAGTCTGAGTGTAGGCCTCAGCAGGCCCCAGAAACAGAGGGTTACTTGTACAACATGACGTGCCAGTGGGGAAGATCACAGCGGCGGCAGTTGCCTGGGAATGTGCCTTTGGTTTGTACACAAAGAATGCTGTCACTCTGCATCAGAGCTGCCTGATGGACAAACTCAACTGGTGTGTGTGTGTGTGTGTGTGAGAAAGAGAGCGCACCTCTGTGAAACACACCTCTGCAGATGAACGCTCATGCGCGCCGTGCAGCAAGCTAGACGCCAGTAAGTCTGGGCTGCGATCGGGAGTGTGACTGTTTTCAACATCATCCCTTTGCGTGTATTAATAGAGCCACAGCGAGGACCCATCCCTGCCCCATGACTGCAGGGCTCGCCTTTGTTCTTCTCCCGTAATACAGGCATAATTACAAGCCTTAAAGAGCCTCCTCACCTTGCTTTCTCTCTCTCTCTCTCTCCCTCTCACACAGCTCTTCTTGCCCACACCTTGGCTCTAAGGACTCAATCCTCCCTCAACAGGAGAGCTGTACATTTATTTAGCTGTACAAGTGTTGTTTTGCTGCACAGACTCCAACACAACACCTGCTCCCAAAGTCACAACTCCAAATGCCATACAGCACCAAAAACGCAGCAGTAAGTTGCTAATCGACACGGCCACAGCACTGCATTCTCCAGTAATAGAATTGCCCAATGACAATTTACAGCTGTGAGGCCTCACAAACTTGTCGCCCACAATATGAAACTAGCTTCTCAGCAGCCTTTTTTTTTTTTTATTGTGACTGAAAATTTTACTATGATAATAATTTGTGGCTTTGTTCTGGCTGGCTGCTCGGCTGAGGCCTGTGGGCAATCGGGAAGCAGTCCAGCCCCCAGCAGGCCTTTAATGCTGCTGGATTCCCAGTAGTTGCAGACAGGGTAGGACATGACCAAAATGACGGGGTTGGACAGCAGCTCAGCACCACGTTCAACCCACCAAACACTCTGTTTATAATTTCGCTGCAGCTCATACAGTGTGTGATTTATCCAAGATGAGGGGGGTGAAATCAAACCGTGCTGTAGAGCAAGAGCACTCTATCAGATTTTTTTTCCCCCCAGTTCTCTCCACCTGTGGGTCGACTCTGCTGTGAGTCGTGACCGGCTGGGAAATGGAGACAGGGGTTTTATTTTTTTTCTTTTTGAGCCACAGTCCCCTCTCCCACACTATTTCCACCTTGGAAGTTTTGCTGACTCTGCAGTCTATACCACAATTCTGCCCTCTTTTGGCAGCTTGTTTTCTTATTTTATGAACCCTGACATTTAGTTAGAAATAACGTGGGTGACTTGTGGGCTGAGTATATTTGTGTCACATAATATTGAAATCAAACATCCTTTTAGAGTTTGTCATTCTTTGTCATCCTTTTTTTTTTCTCCCACCCTTCTGGTTTCCAGATCATGAAAATGTGCATGCATGATGTTCATTTATAGACTGAGCACACAAATAATGTAAAAACACCAATTAAAGTATTTATCTAACTATATTTTAGCTGTATATTCTGGTACACTGGTGCATAATTTTGATCAAAGTTACTGTACATACTAACCTACAATTTGGCAAATGCATGTGTTCAAACTAGAAAGTTTTCAATGAGCAGTAAAATTTGTTCTCCAAATAATAATAACAAAAAACTTCAGCATTACCTCTAAGCAGCCAAAAAACAAAATGAAACTCCTGCTTGTAGCTATTAAAACATGCAGATCTGTCATTTTTCCTTTAATGCATTTCTATAAGTTCTGCAAAATTAAAGACAGACAATGTGCTCTCACAGCAGATAAATCAGCTCATACAGTCTTTAGAAGTAAAGATGCTTTTAAAAAATCTATTCAATTAGAAAACTTGCTAAATTGCAGTACTCCAGCTGTTATTAAATAACGTTGATTTACGCATTGACTCCAACAACGAAACAACGGCCCACCGCATTTATTTTGACATCAACACCAGATAAGATTGAACTCATAAATGAGACTTTTGTTTTGCCGCAGAATTAGTCATTATTGTGTTTCTATAAAAGAGCATCAGGTATATTATGGCGACCTAATTATCGAATTCTGCCTCTTTTAATCTTAAATATATACATTTTCTTTTTTTAATATAAGAAACGGATTTTAATTCGGGCAGGTTTTTAAATTTCTTTTTTTTTTTTGAAGTCCCTGAAGCAGCATGCTTTCTGGGAACCGTTGTTTATTTAACATAAGCGAGCAGTAGTAGTAGTATAGAATTTCTACCTGGCCAAGTGATATTTATTTCAGAATCTATGGAAGGAGGTGGCTCTTGGCCGCGGAGCTGCATCCTGTATCATATGTTAATGAAGTTCATGGTGGAGCTCCAGTGACAGCCGGCTGCTGAACACCAATCAGAGAGCTCGCAGATGGAATGCAGTGTGTTTGAGGCTCTGCGCGCAGGAGGTGTTTGAAGAACCATGTCAGCTCCTCCAGTGATGTAAAGAAGGATCCCTTTCGCTTTTATTTGATTTTGCCTCCCAATCAGCTGTGAACATGCTCACTGTGACTTATTACTGCCGGGAAGTTTTTTTCGCAAACAATTCGTTGGATCTAAGTGTGGATTTGTTCCAGGTTTTCCTCGCTGTCCGACAGAACTCATGAAACCCTCTTCAGAGCGACGGTTTATGGACTCGCGTATTAGCTAATGATGTCTGTGGGTTTCATGCCTGACAGTCTGAATGGCTCAGATCCCTCCAAATCGGCCTTCCTAGAGTTTGGCCACGGACACCCGACGCACCAGCAGCACTCTCCCGGACTCTCCCACATTTACCCGGTTCATGGCTTGCACGCTGCTGGGCATTCCCAGCACGAAAGTCCTTTTCCTGGCAACACGTCCTATGGCCGCTCTTTGGGCTACGCCTACCCAGGCGCGGTGAACACTCATCCCCCGTCTGCGTACATGCCCTACCAGCACAGCAATCACAGCAACAGCAGCAGTCTGGTCCACAGCAGATTAGAGCAGACAGGTATGTGAGAAAGTCAAACCGAGCAGCACTAAACTGTTCTTCCATTAATGACTATAAAATTGATCTGCCATTGCGCCTGAGCGTAATTACGCACATGGCGCGCATTTTTCCTGGTACGAAAAATCGTGCATGTCAGGGTGTAGTACGTAAAATAAATAAATTAAAATAAATTAAAAAGGAGAGAGAAAAAAAATGTCTTTTTCTTCATATTAAAATGTTTTACAATCAAAGTTTATTGCAGCATTGGGCATCAGCAGGCATACTGTCACTCAATCACCAATGTACAAACAAGGTCAAGGATTAAACCAATGCGTCTTGGAGGGATGCTCCCTGTTTGCCACTTGTGTTATATAATGAAGGCAGATGGTGCCATTAATTTTATTGACCATAATTTTCTGTGGGAAATTCAAATTATGGCCCGTGTAGTCTGGGCGTACCTCAGGAACTCGTTTCTACCCTCACTGTTAGTGCACATTAACGCAATGTTTCCAGAAACTAGCGATCCTTTCAGCCTGCTTGTGGGAATACTTTCCACATCACAACAATATTTGTTGTTGTATCAGGGAGGTATTATGAGTCAGAAATGTCAGTCCCATGTGAACTTCTCACAGATATCCAGTGAAAATTCGGGTAGAATTCTGGACACGTGAATGGAAACATATCTCTTGGATTTTAGGCCCTGACACTGGTGTGTTTATAGCATGAGGTGCAGGACCTGTCGAGGCACTAGATTTTGGTTTGTTTTGAATCTGTAAAACTGAACAATTTATCAAATGTTGTCTAAAGTGTTGTACATTTTTGTTAGCTATAGGGATCAACCTGAAAGTCTGCTGATCAGATGTGACTTTTACTGTTCGCCTGAAGAAGAAATGCCATAAATCACAACTCTTCTCCACTTGAACTCTGTCTGTTCTCTGTTTCATGCACAAGATCGCGACAAGTCCACGGTGATTGAAAACAGGGATATTCGCCTGAATGGCAAGGGCAAGAAAATCCGCAAGCCTCGGACCATCTACTCCAGTCTGCAGCTCCAGGCTCTGCACCAGCGCTTCCAGCAGACCCAGTACCTGGCCTTACCGGAGCGCGCCGACCTGGCGGCCAAGCTGGGACTCACCCAGACTCAGGTGGGCCTCGAACGCATCCAGGAGTTGTCAGTGGATCAGGGAATGTGTAGGGCAGAAGCTACATGCACTCTTATTATTTGGGGAATTTAATAAGTTGTAAAGGAGGCTGAAAATTTTAAGCCAAAAAATATGGGCTGTGCATATTTAGCATTTAGTGCCTTACTGTATATCTAATTGTCGTTGTTGCAGTTTAATATTTAGTGTGTTAAATTATAACTTACAGCAGACTGAAGTAAAAAAAAAAAAATGTAACTGAGTCACAAAGGACGTTCCTCTCTGGTTGAACCTCTCATTTGCAGCATTATCAAGGATCACGGTGCTTGTGCGCATTAAATGAAAAGCGAATTTGTTACTCAATCCTTTAATGCGCGCCTTGTTTACTGTACTTAATTTCGTGGCTGCATTTCCTTTGTCAGCTGTGGTCCTTGAAGTGGTCTTTGTGAATAGAGCATGACCGCAGCATAGTTACAAAATTATCAAAAGGGGGAGAAAAAAAAAATCGGCCATTACAGGTCTGCAAAATTACAGGGATGTCAGCTGCTTTTAAATTTTACAGTAGCTCAAACCACGAGATTAAACCTGTTATTTATAACTCTTCTTAAATGTACTTATTTATTTTTCTCCATAGCTTGATTGTTTTTTTAATCACATTTCCAATATTGCTGTTATGCGCTTTTACGCACAGACACCTGGTTGCGTAAATCTCTCATACATCTTTACGCACCAGCTATATGGTTACACACGTGCACAATACATGCACACGCCTCATAATAATTTCACATGCATGTGCATTTCGGACACCCACAGGTGCCCGTGTCCTGTCAACTCATCTTTCTCAGATGGGACGAAATGAGGCCTTCAGTTTTCGCATCGGTTTTTACAAAAAAAAAAAAGAAAATATTACGTTGTCTTAGTTGCAAAATAGGAGCAAAACAATGAAATGAATCCTCTCTGTCATGTCAGCGGCCTCCTGCATACTATACTTTAATCCCTCCCAACAATTATCTCCCCGTTGTGCTGCATTTCGTGCTGCTCGCTTGCTTTTTATGATTATTCACACCATTGTTCTCGGGTAGAAAAAAAAATAGGCATCTTGATTTGCAGAAATTTTCCCTCTGACCTACCACAGCGCCTTTTTGGGGCTGTTTTTTATTTCACAATACTCTCAGTCTCTTATTGCTTGCTGTCACACTCATGCACCACTGGCCTTATAAAACAACACGAGAGCTCAGTTTTAATGGGTTACAAGTGCCACTCAAGCCTGCAGGATTTGCAAAAGCAACACAAAAAAAGATGAGTTATTAGCAGTTTTCCTTTTTTATTGGTAACAATAGTCACTCCAGGGCAATTCTGATGAAAAGTGTGTTAAGTTTTATAAGGGGAAATATGCTAATAAAAAGCCCTTGAGTGTGATAATTCCTTTATATTACTGCTGATTGTTAACCACAATGACAACTATGTGCTTTTTCCCCTCTTTGCTTTTCCCGCTTTTAGGTGAAAATATGGTTTCAAAATAAGCGCTCTAAGTATAAAAAGATCATGAAGCATGGCAGCGGATCAGAGGGGGAACACATCCACAGCACCAACTCCATCTCCCCCTGCTCGCCCGCGCTGCCACAGCTTTGGGAGGTCTCCATGGCGAACAAAGGAGGCCCAGTTCACCCAAACAATTACATGAACAGTTTCGGTCATTGGTACCCGAACCATCACCCTCACCAGGACGCCATGTCCAGGCCTCAGATGATGTGAGTGGATTGTTTTTGGTGTCCAGCAGGCGACAGCGAACTTCTCTGGAGGCCCTTCCTCTCAGAGCTGAACTGCGTGTTTATTAGACTTTGTTCACTGTATTTGGTGTGAATTCAGTTTTCACTGCAAAATTCAAAACCAGGCATCAAATAGGGTTTTTTTTTTTCTTGTTTGTTTTCGATTTTGTTCTGTCGAAGTCACTGCAAGTTCTGTTGCACGGCTTCACATCACTGACATGTGGACTTGTGTGTGCAGTTTAACAAGACACTCTGGATAAAGAAACTTTTAAAAAAATACATCTTGTGTGCATGGATTTACTTTACTAGAAAAGGCTCCAGCTGCCTGATCCAACAGCTTTGTGCAAACAAGCAAGCTGCTGGTTTGACGTTCGAATGATTAATTCGGTGACATTTGGGTGCTGCTTTATCAGTGGAATATTTTCACTGTCAAATAATCTCAAAGGGAAATAGCGTTTGAGTTTCTTCATCCAACCGTGACAAACCGCAGACTGCTTAAAGAAGTCTGGATTAATGACAGCCGGACTCAGCTGTGAGACTCTGATAAACAAAAGCTTGTAAAACGCGTTTCTGATCTCTAGATTAAATACAGTTTCTATGCTGACTTACTGTGCAGAAGTTTTCAGCTCAGCCTCTGTGATAATGCCGAGCAGGAATATCAGTTGTCTTTTGTCCATCAACGCTCCTGCGCAGCGATTCTCGAAAACCTGCTTGAATTTCGACAGTTACGCTTTGTCAAAACACCTGAGGAGTGATTCATTTGTAGACAAAAATCTGGCTGGCTTGTGTTATTTTTAGGTCCCAAGATTTTTGCACCATCATTGCCTTAAATTTAATTTAAAAAATACGTCCATTAAAAGAACATTTTAAAAGCAGGGTTAAACAAAGGGATTGGAGGTGCCACTTTTACGCACTGCGGTTGAATTCAGTGCAACTTTTACGCACAGGACAAAGGGCTATAAAGACACGTGCCTTTCAGATGATGTCTTTGAATTTAAAATGCAGCACTGCAATCAAAATACAGTCTGATATTATATTGAAAAAAAATAAATATATGGGCTGTATTTTTCTCTTGAGCAATCTTTTTTTTTCACATCGAAAAACATTTTCGTCTGCTTTTAAAGGGAACCTCTGAGGCACCATCCATCTTTTTTTTTTCCACCAAGGAGATGCCGTGAGGACAGGAGTGTGGACGTGCACGCCAGCATTTTAACAATATTTTCCTTCTTCTCCAGCATCATAAAATGATAAATGGCCGTGCTATCCACTTCGATAAACTGCGCCTGATTTATAGTGGTTTGCACTGATTTACTAATTCTGCTGCTTGTTCAGCTTAAACACAGAGAATTCGTTATTTATATCCTTACAAACAGTTTGCAGCAGTCCGGGCGCTGATGCCTCTTGATTAAATGGAGAGCTGATCTCTGATTAATGAATCCGCACAGTGCGTTAAAGAAACACCCAGTGACTTCTTTTTATCTTTTTCATTCATCACGCTGCTATCTTGGCTGTCTGGCAAACATTAGACACAATTTGTCTGATGACACACTCAGGGGTTAGAAAAATAACAAATCACATGGAGATTTAGTGGAGATATTTATCCAAGTATTACTCAACAATGCATCGATTAAAATTCTATCTATTTCAGGTGTAGCCTTTCACTCTTGGTGTCATTTTAAAGGAGCATAACGCCTCATTTTAAAGGCTTTTTCCACACCTGAAGCTGAAACTGTGATTTTCTTTGCATGCAAAAAGCTACATTTATGCACCTCGGCTAAATACCAGTAATGTGACTCAACTTTAATGATGCAGCTTCTCTCTGAGCTCTTGGTAAAGCTGTTTTTTTGCCTAAATGAAACATAAAAAAATAGTCAATTTGGATGCTAACACATATGAATGCATGCAAAAATAACATACCCATTTCTGACTGCATTCAGACTGATGTCCTCCACAACCGTCCAGTCACACAGTGCACACTCAGTCCTTACCTAGTCAGAGAAGTGCAGCCTTGTTCAGCAGGTCCAAAGCCTTCAGTGGTGTCTCTGTGAAGAACAAAGCCACATCAGAGTCCTGTGTTTTCACTCCTCCAAGCTGATTTTCTCACATAACGACAAGCATTGTGTTACATTAACATCTCCTTCTTTATATATATACACACACCCTCGTGCCCTTTTCCTCATTCCTGATCATTATGTGCCTTGTTAAACATGCGGGCCCAGGGAAGAAGAGGCGAGCATTGCTGAACCAAGTGACGGGGCATCAGGGAAAATTATAGGCAATTTCACATCTCCAGATTAGAATAATGGCTTGTGGAGTTGGACAGAGAAGAGTAGGACCTTTCAAACGAGGGGGGGACCAATTATCAGGCAGGCAGATTGAAGGGAAAGTGAAAAGGCTCCTCGTGTAATAGACAAGCTAAGAGGAGGGGATGGAAGGCTGGGAGATGGGTTGAAGGGTAATGATAAAGGCAAGTCTGACTGTATCCATGATGGGGATGGTCGGGGTTATCAGATACGAGGTGTCTGATGGGTTTTAATTGCAGGATAGCAATAAGAGGGAAAATAGCTTGTTATTAAATCCCAGTTGCTTTGAATGGGCGAATGGCAATGCAGGTCTCTGGGGTGATTATTGTTATTAACTTGAGTGATCTGACATCCCGGGTAATTGTGAGCAGCTTCCCTGTTGGAGAGAGTGAATGCATGATTTGGTTTCATCAGAAGGAAGGCTTTACTTACTCTGGGGCATGATGCACACACACTCTGGAGGGATTAAAAGATGGAATACAGTTTGGCAGGCACTGAGGCATGCACATAAACACACACTGAAATTAGATTCAAAATACTGGATTCAAGCACACCAGAAATATACAAAAATGTTGGACAAAAAAGCAGGAATCATGACTTCTTGTCATTTGTTTTCTGTTACTTTACAATATTGTGCAGGGTTCTTTTTTTCCAAATGCAGTCTTTGTGCCAAAGTTTCAGTTTTTAGGTCAAGGTAAGCAGCACGAAGGCCTCATCATGGCTACGGCTTTATCAGGATGTGATGACTGGCTGTGTAGCATCAGTAGCTCGGCCCAGCCTGCCCAGGCCCTGGTCTAAGGTCGGCCAGGGTTCACGAGTCCACAGCTGTCAAAGATGCCTTTCTCCCTTCATTTCATCCCAGTTTACTGCAAAATGGAGAGCGTGAGTGATCCTAATGCAGCCGAGGCCCAGCCCAGGCTGGGACTAAGTGTTGGACAGCTGCTGGAAGTCTTTCCATGGATGCATTTCAGTTCCCGACCTCCATCTCAACCCATATCGCTGCACCCCAGAGACAAGTGCTGACACCACACTGCTGATTGTTGCAGGGGAGGGTTCCTGGGGGCCCGGGCACCGACTCTATTTAGGGCGCTGTGATGTTGTGCCATGCAGGATCACATTCAAGTTCAACAGTTCACCTCCACCTCCACGGCTACTTACACTTGTTAATGTTTGGGGATGACATATATGGACACGTCCGACAGCCCACACACACAAGTGCAGTTCGAGGCAAACACACGTTTGTCTTCGGCACAAATGTTTCCCCTGACAGCCACGGCCGAGGGCCACACATGCTGAGGGAGCCACCACAGGGAGGTCACATGTAGCCTTGATGAGATTTCATTGATATTAAAAGGCAATAGTAATCATACCGCTTTTGTCAAATCAGCACAGTGCACTGGCACGATGACTGATGCCGTAGACAACTGGTGTTGAGTTCAAGGATATAAACCGAAGAGGACAAGAGGGAAATGGGATTACAGGCGCTGTGACACATTTCATTGTTTGTAGCAACATCATGAGAGAATGTGTGTGAAGTTTGGTGGAATAGATTAAATGTCAGGGGTGTGAGAGAAATCAAAGAAGAAAAAATACTTATGGAAAATGTGACCTAAAAAGGAAAAATATTTGCTTTAAAATATTAAACAAAAATTACAGTTTAATAGCAATTCTGTTACTAAAATGTAAAAATAAATTAGAAAAATTCTACATATTCTTCGGGACAGATTGTGCCCCTGAAATTCAAACAAAAGTCCACCTGAATTTTTATTAAAATTGAGTAATGTGAAAAGATTACAATTACTTTTGAAATAATATATATTACTATATGTTCCATAAAAATTCCTGAAAGGTGTATAACTATAAATAAATTGACGTTATCAGTGTATTTGACATTTCACTTCTAATAATATTAGAGATAAACCTGCCATTTAAGGCAGAAATATTTGCACAAAGAAAATCAATAAATATATATTTTACTATTTAAATTTGGAAAAACTGGTAAAAGAATCTAAATCATACTGGATTTTAATGTGTTATAGTGATAGTTTTATTTTTTTGCTTATTTCTTGTAAATGTTGTAAATTGTGTGACATTGCAGTTAAAAGCTTGACTCGACAAAAGTGATCAAACATGTCCAACATTTTACTGAGTAAAGTAACAATGTTTAATATTTAACAGCGTTAATAGCAAATTAAAGTAATAAGAGATATTAGTAGGAGGCCTTATTCCAATATAGTTTTTCTTGATCGACGTAAAATTCAAAAATAGGTGGGGTGGTACAAAAATGCAGGGTCCACTGTGAGTCCCACTGAACCTCACGTGTTGACATCCAGACAATGCTGCAATAAAGTTTCATACAGTAACACCTCCAGTCCTGAGCGCATACCATTCCAATTACTAAAAGCAGGAGAAAAGGTTATAAAACCACCAACGCCGTTGGTACATTTTCTCTCCGTGCGTAATGGCGCCTTGGTGGTCCATGTGGATAAGCTCTCCATTAGCGGTTTCTCCATCATATAATTTTTTTTTTTTTGAGCCGCATATTTAATAACGCATGGTTTATGTGGCCAAACTGAGCCTATTGTCCGCTGCCATTATTTATTAGTTGACGGAAAGAGAGGGCGGTTGTTTTTTTCTGTGACAGTCTTATTGTCGCTGTCACAACAGTCATTATCAGACTTGTTGTCATGTTTATCTCGCATCTCTCAGCTAATTAATATCGGTGTTTCCCACCAGGTTTGTGCCACGGTCACTCCCGTGGGGCCATTTAATCACGTTAAAAATTAAATGAAGTATTTTACCGTAAATTGTGGAAATTGCACCCAAAATATTGGGTTAAAGAGCAAAAGACCTGCTTATCTAGAGGCTGGGAGCTTTTATCAAGAGCTTGCCAAACTCAACAGAAAGAGAAAGTGAAGTGCTCCAAAAAACACACAAAAAAAGGTTTGAGTTTTGTGAGACTTCCAATATTTG